TGAATCAGTTCCAACTCATAGCGACCCTATATTTTCTGATGAGCTACTGACTTTGCAATTCAAACCGACTCTGTGGTCCAGTGTAAAAGCACCATACCAGTACTCCACTCAGTTTTCCAACTCCAGGTCCTTCCACATTTCATTATACTACTTCACTCTGTCTTTTCAAGCTGCCCTTTGGAATTTTCTGCTTAGTTCTTTTACTTCCTCATTTCTTCCATTCACTATAGCATGTCTATGCTGGAGAAAAAGTTTTAGACATCCATTTCGGACATCCATTTTAGTCTTTAAAGAGAAGAGTCTCTAAAATTTTATGCTGTTATTAAGTTCAAATTAAAATGAAATGTACAAAAAAAGAAATATACAAAGGCCTAGAGTTATATAACAGAACACACTGAGCATTTCTCAAGCTGAAAGAACTGAAACAAAAACCTGAGCTTCGACTTGAAATACTAGTGGATTCTATGCGTAAAATGGAGTCTTGATGTGGCACTGTAGGATAAGCACTTGATCATCAGGTCAGTTTGAACCACAGGGCAGCCATTCAAACTCACCAACTGCTTTTTGGAAACCCTATATAGGGTCACTATGAGTTGAAACTGACTCAATGGCACTAAACAACAGCAACTACAATGGGCAAAAGATTGAACAATGCAGGAATCATCAAAAGAAGATGGAAGGTCTTTCCTCAGCTGCAGCTAAGGCGCTTGGCTCTTTTAAGGAAACTAAGGCCACATTGAGGTGAGACCCGCACTTCAACCAATTACTAGCACCATGTCCGGCAGCCACCAACCCTTTGTCTCTGAGCTCACTTGCATCTACTTGGCCATCACACTGCACGATGCGGAACTGAATGCTGAACTTTTCTGGCCTCACTTGTCCACAAAGGCCCTGGCCATCATCAACATTGAGAACCTTATCTGCAATTTAGGGGCTGATGGCCTGTACCAACAGGTGGTGTACACCCTCTACCACTGCTGTGGAGAAGGCAGTGCAAGCAAAGAAACAGAATCTGAAGAGTCCAATGATGACATGGGCTTTGGTCTTTTTGACTAAAACCCTTGTGACATGTTCAATAAAAAGCTGAACTCTTTTTTTTAAAAAAGAATATGTAAGGAATACACAGACTCACTGTATCATAAAGAAGTGGTAAACGTTCAACCATTTTGAGAGGTCAAGAACCAATGGTACTGAAAGAATAAGTCCAAGCTTCACTGAAGGCATTGAGCGAAAAACAAGACTCCAGGAAATGATAGAATACAAATGGAAATGTTTCAACAAACTGATACAGCACTGGAAGTACTCACTAGTCTTTGCCAAGAAATTTGGCAAAGATTGGCCAACTGACTGGAAGAGGTCAGTATCTGTTCCCATTCCAGAAAAAGACTGTTGCTGTTTTTGCTATGTGCTGTCGAGTCAGTTCCTACTCACAGCTACCCTGTATAGGGTTTCTGAGAAGCAGCTGCTAGGTTTGAACTGCTGATCTTGTAGTTCACAGTCCAGTGCTGATCCTACAGCACCGCACCAGGAAAGACAGCCCAACAAAATGTGGAAATTACTGAACAATGTAATTAATATCACATGTAAGTAAAAGCATGCTGAAGATAATTCAAAAATGGTAGCTGCAGCACATCAATAGGGAATTGTTAAAATTCAAGCCCGATTCAGAAAAGACCACAGAATGAGTGATATCATTGCTGACGTTGGATGAATCGTGGCTGAAAGCAGAGGATACCAGAAAGATGTTTAAGTATGTTTTATTGACTATGCAAACATATTAGACTCTGTGGATCATAACAAACTATGGATAACACTGCAAAGAATAGGCATTCCAGAACACTTCATTGTAAGGAACCTGTATATAGACCAAGTGGCAGTCAGTCAAACAAAATAAGGGGATATTGTGTGGTTTAAAATCAGGACAGGTGTGCATCAGGGTTGCATCCTTTCATTATACTTGTTCAATCTGTATGTTGAGCAGATAATCAATGAAGCTTAACTATGTGAAGAACATCAGGATTGGAGAAGCGCTCCTTAACCACCTGTGATATACAGAGGACACAGCCTATCTTGCTGAAAGAGAGGAGAACTTGAAGCACTTGTTGATGAAGATCCAAGAATACAGCATTCAGTATGGATTACAACTCAATGTACAGAAAACAAATATCCTTACAAATAGACCAATAAACAACATCATGATGAACAAACAAAAGATTGAACTTGTCAAGGATTGCTTTTTATATGGATTCACAATCAGTGCTCATGGAAGCAGTAGTTAAGAAATCAAATGACATTTTCATTGGGCAAATCTGCTGGTAAAAAAAGATCTCTCTTTAAAGAGCAAAGATATCAATTCCAACCGGAATGGAAGATTTCTCCTTATCAAGGAACAACCTTGATTCTTCAGTGTACTAGGCTGATGTTGTTATTGATGTTGTTAAGTGCCATCAAGTTGGTTCTGACTCTTAGCGACCCATTATAGGGTTTCTGAGGAGCAATTGGTGGGTTTGAATTGCCAACCTTGTGATTCGCAGTCCAATTGATAGGAATGAGAAATTTAGACAGTGGCTATAAAAAACTGGGGGACTATAAACGCATGAAGTGGCTGGGTTACAAGCTTTCATGAGTATACTTAGTTGCAGAATGAGTGGGAGGAGGGGAAAGAGAGACATAGAGAGCAGAAGGGATAAGAAAACAGGATCCTTCAATATGCAGTCTAAAAGAGACATATCAAAAAGATGGAGACAACCTAAATACCCACCAACAGAAGAATGGCTAAACAAACTTAGGTACATACACACACAGTGGAATACTACAAAATGTTGAAGAATAATGATGAATCTCTGAAACATCTCACAACATGGTTGAACCTGGAGGACATTATGCTGTGAAATTAGTCAATCACAAAAGGACAAAAATTATATGAGACCAATGTTGTAAAGAGTTAAAAAAAAATAAAAGGTTTTCTTGATAAAAGAAAGTATCTATGGTGGTTACAGGGGAGGGAGGGGAAATTATTTACAGAATAGAGGGTAGACATGTGTTAACATGGGAGACAGGGCAGGCAATATACAACAAGAGGGAGGTTAGCAGAGGAAAGATAAAGGTAGCAGGAGACACAGGGAGGAATGCAATAGATAAAGTGAATAGAGGTAAACACTGTTAACTGTTAGCACATGGAGGGGATTGAAACCATGTAATCAAGCAAAGTATATGATTTGTTGAATATAAAACTTATGATCAGCATTGTAAGCCTTCATTCAATTCACAATAAAAAGTTGGGGAAAAAAAGCAAAGCTATCACTTTGCGAACTAAAGCACACCTGACCCAACCCACAGTATTTTCATTAGCCTCATATGTAATGTGAAAGCTGGACAATGATTAAGGAAGATTGAAGAATAAGTTATGCATTTGAATTATGGAGTTGGCAAGGAATATTGAAAGTGCCATGGACTGCCAGAAAAAGAAACAAATCTGTCTTCAAAGAAGTACAGCTGGAGTACTCCTTAGAAGCAACGATGGTGAGACTTTGTCTCACATACTTTGGGCATGTTATCAGGAAGGACCAATCCCTGGAAAAATACATCATGTTTAGTAAAGTAGAGGCTCAGCAGAGAAGATGACCACCAGTGAAAATGAGTGATACAGTGGCTATAGCAATGGGTTAAACGTAACAATTGTGAGGATGGTGCAAGAAAATCCGTGCTTTGTTCTGATGTGAAAAGGGTCACTATGAGTGGGAGCCACCTAGCAACAACAGCACTAGCATTGAATTTATGGACTTCTCTGGTAGCGTAGTGGTTACGAATCGGGCTGCGAACCTTAAGGTCAGCGGTTCGAAACTACCAGCCGCTCCGCGGGAGAAAGATGAGGCTTTCTACTCCCGTAAAGATTTACACCCTCGGAAACCCTGTACAGGGTCGCTATGGGTCGGACCCGACTCGATGGCACTTAACAACAACAACAACAATATTCCTTTTATAAGGAGCTCTGGTAGTGTAGTAGTTACGAATCAGGCTGCGAACCGCAAGGTCAGCAGTTCAAAACTACCAGCTTCTCGGCGGGAGAAATATGAGGTGTTCTGCTCCTGGAAAGATTTACAGGCTCAGAAACCCTGTACAGGGTAGCTATGAGTGGGAACTGACTCCATGGCACAGAGCCACCATATTCCTTTTATACTCATTAACAATATCTCAAAATAGGAGAGTCAATAAGGAAGGCTGTTGTTAGATGCAAGCTGAATTCATGTTTATTATTAAAGGACTTTATTAAGAGTAGTGAGGTGGCTGCTGCCCTACCCTTCTCACCCATGCAAGAAGAGCAGGAGACTTTTGCTCCTTGCTTAAATGCTGAAAACTATTTTTCAGAAAGTATGTGGCACAAAGGTTTCTACTGGGAACATTAGGGCTCAAGAAATGAGAGCAAAGCCAACATCACCATAACAGACACAGGGGAAAGTATGGAGGACAAAGACAGAAGGAGAGATGTATTTAGGAATGAAATACAGTAGAGCATTTCACACCACCAGCACCACTACTACCTCCACAATGACAATTTAGGAGACCTTACGGTTTTCTCCCTACTTCCTGCCCACATATCTTCAAGGAAGTCTACCTAACAGCATGCCCTGCCCACCCACAGGCCATGTGCTCATCTGGACACCCATGCCAGGCACTTGTACACATAAGACTATTTCTTCGCTTGCCAACATGACCAAGTAATCAAAGATCACTACATACTTGTATTTATTACAGACAAAAACCAGAAAGAGAGAGAGAGAGAAGGAATGAAATGGGAATATAGATCTATCCCCAGATAGAAGAGATTCAGGAAATCTTGAGATATTTGGGAAGACTCTGTATCCACAAAATAAAAATATACAGTCATTTAAAACAAGAAGAAGAAGAAGAAAAACTTAAAGTATTTTCCATGAAAAACTTGTGACAATAAAGCATTAAATAGGCAGGCTCAAGAAGACAGGTACAAGAAGTACACCTACTGTTAGCTGTTCTTTCTTTTCTTGAAAAATTTTGGCCTGGAAATTCTTTGTCCTCTTTACTTTTTCAGCAGCATCTGAGACACTCTGGCTGTAGTCACTCACTGAAATGACAAACAGTTGAGGTCCAAAGTGATACTACCTCCCACTCCCACAAGTAGAGAGCTACTTTGCTGCCATGTCATTCATGATGACTTGGAGATATTTTTATTTTATTAAAACTGGCAGGAAAAGCTCCTGAAACCATTTCCTTCAGTTCAAGAACAGAAAAAGGAGGATAAGGGAGTAGAGTAGAAGGCATTAAACTTTTTAGGTCCAAAAGAGAACTTCCAAAAGAATCTTTCCAAGTCCTGTAAAGAAAGGACTTCAAAGTCTCATCCTTAACTTCGTGAAGTAAAGCGAGAGGAAAAACTGGCTGGAACCTATGGATGTATTGTTGGGCTTGCAGAGTTTTAGCAAACAGACTTTCTGTTGTCCTTTAAGTCTGTCCATTGGTTAAAATTGTTTTAAAATCCCCAGAGAGGAATAACTCACCCAAGCTGGACCTGCTGCTGAACAGCCCGTTACCCCTCTCGGTGACACTGCTCAGAAACTGGTCACTGAAATCCACCACCTTGTTGAAGTAAAGGTTCTAGTCAACAAAAAAATCCAAACACCACAAGTGATGAGGCTACTGTCTCCCAATAGAAAGAATTCTATCCCTGCCTACCTGCCCCTTTGTTATTAATGAGATACCTACTTGGACAGTTTAGTCTAAATCTTGGACACCCTTCCTAGCATCCCCCTCACCTCACCATGACATTTGGTCCTTCTTACCATGTAAACAGAACTTTATCACTACAATTGTGGCCCCTCATCTTACACAGAGACCACTCCAATAGTTTTCCAACAAGTTTCAGTCAGCTCCCCTTCCATGGGACTATCCTGTCACTTTTGTACAACTTATAACTAACTATGACCTTGCCATACTTAAAACCCTTCAGTGTTTTGGACAGTATGACTGGATGGGGAGTCTCCAGGTTTCAGAGTTTGAAAGGAGCAAGTTGCTTAAATTCTATGACCTTTAGTTTCCTCACCTGCACAGTGGAAATATTATGACCTACTTCAAAAGGATGTTGTGAAAGTGAAATGAGAAAAAAATGGTACTATGAAATGAGGACAGATACATGGACCAAATGTGGAATTTTAAATCCACCTGAGCAGGATTTACATCATGGCATCCTGCCCTAGTTCCATGTTTAGTCTCCTGCCTGGACACTAAAACACACACACTAAGAAACAAGACATCCATGCTGGGACAATTCCTCTCCTGCCTGATAGTCAAAGTGTCACAGCACCTCACCCAGTCCCTCTTCCCCAGTCAGTATAACCAGCCCAACTGCTAACTGCTCACAGCTGACCCTCTTCTCCAGGGACCTGCCCTCACTGCCTCACACAAGGACAACTTGGTAGATTTACTCATGCTCCTAACTCCAGAGCTCCCTGTGGATCAAGCTAAAGCTAGACCTTGCTAAAGATACACTCTCATTCACATTCTCTACCTTGTCCTGCCTTCCCTTCCTCCCTCCCTTATCCTGAGAGCATCTCCCTGGCCCAGGCTCTACTCTAAAGATAGCATTCAGTGCTTGAATTGGCTGCAAGGTTCTTTCATGTGCATTACCCATTTGATATTCCTACCTCCTTTCTGAGTTAGGGAGGGTCCTGTATAGATTCTAATTTTATAGACACTTTTATGACATTACAGGGCACATATTGTTGCTGTTGTTAAGTGCCGTTGAGTCAGTTCCAACTCATAATGACTCTGGGTAGGGTTTTTGAGGAGCAGCTAGGGGATTTGAACCACCAATCTTGTGGTTAGTAATCCAGTGCTTATCCTACAGTGCCATACCAGGGCACATAGCCAGGGCCTCATAAATGTTAATTCCTTCCTTTTCTTTGCCTTCTTTCCCCATCTTATCAATCTATTTATTCTTTTGCATATTTGGACTTCTTGTCCAATAAAACTAAAACTGTACATATCAATTAATCACACACATCCTGTGGCAATGCCCCTGCTACCATATAAAAAGACAGATCAAAAGAGACATGGCTCTAAAGCTTAACTTATTTTATATAAGACAAATAGGTCGAAACACAAAGCAGCAGTCTTTCCTCAAATCAGTTGTATTACAGATATGCCATCTGACTTCAGTGAATACTAAAAACTATAGGACCAATACAGAGGGTGAAAATGCCAGTTCTTATTATATTTTCACATGCCTGAAAACAATCTTCCTTGATAGTAAACTCAAGTACTTATTTATTACAGCCAAGTTTCATAATACCCAAAAGTTCTTCCTATGGATTAGACAGAGCATTTCTATAAATTGTAAGCTACAATTTACTAGTTCAGTTACTTCTTAAATGAATACTTCCTGAAGATCTTATTTACCTTGTTAGAGACTTTCATGTAATTCAGCCTGATGCTCACTTCACAACCATCTTCATGAACAGTAGCAGATATAAGCTTTTAAAAAAAAGAATTAAAGAGAATTCATAACCATCGATGAGGGACTCATTAACTTGAGCAAGAACCTAGGAAATCTAAGGTGTTAAACTCAAATTAATTAAATATTTAATTAATACAAAAGAAGGCAGGAAAAGGAACAAAACCTAGATGAGATGAATAGAAAATAAATAGCATGACAGACTCAAGTCCAACCATATCAGTAATTCCATCCATTATAAATGAACTAAATATTCCAATAATGTCAGACTAGTAAGAAAGCAATACTGGTGTGGCACTGTGGGTGAATACACTGGACTGCGAGGTCAGTTTGAACTGCAGGGTCGGCAGTTCAAGCTCACCAGCCGCTCCTCGGATATCCTACACAGGGTTGCTATGGGTCAGCACCGACTCGGCAGCACTGAACAACAACAGTAAGAAAGCAAAATTCAAGTTTATGTGTACAAAAAAAAACCACTCTAAGTTTAATAATGAAAGGCACTGGCAATCAGGATAAGTGGAAAGAATTTAGATTAAATTTAGATTAGAATTTAGATTAAATCAGGAGTTAATAAATATTTTTGATAAAGGGACAGATAGCAAATATTTTAGGTTTTGTCCACCATGTGGTTTCTGTTAAGAATCATCCTGTGAGAGAACATGTCCCTCTGTTTGTCATGCAACTAGAAGGCAACTTTTAAAATCTATCTACTTTTAGGCCACCAAATAGGCAAACATGGAAACTGTTTTGTTGGGTACCGCTCAATTTCATTTGGTAATGTGGTCTGATCTGTAAACTGTGGCTGTAGTGAAAATCTGGCCTGCTGGCCAGTTTTGTAAATAAAGTTTTATTGAATCACAGCTACAGTCAATCATTTACTTATTACCTATGATTACTTTTGTGTTAAATAGCCAAGTTCTCTCTTTATAGTGATGGTGTAGTTCCAGGTACAAGGCATGGAACTTGACATCCCACAGAGCTGGCTTCAAATACTGAATTCCTCAAGATCCAGAAGTACACTGTTGAGCAAGTCACCAAAATTTTCTGAGCCTCTGTTTTCCTAGATGTGAAATAAAATTTATTCTAAAAAGTCACTCCAAACTTAAGAGCACCCACTTTCATATGCCCATAGAATCAGGGCAGAGCAGCAATGTTTTTTCTCTGCTCACAAGTCTGAGGTTTCAGCAGGGAGTACACATATGGTGGGAGGGTCGCTTGATATTGAGGGCTGGAACTATCTTGTCTCATCATTTTATGTCTGAGATGAACTGAGGACTGGGTTCAGCTGGGGCATTAGTCTGGAGCACCTACATGTAACCACTCCCTATGGCTTGGGTTTGTATCTTATAGCAGGGTGTCTGGGTTCCAAGATGGAATATCTCAAGAGCAGCTGGAGATGAGTTTACCAGCAGAAGAAGACACATGGCCTTATATAACTCAGCCTTAGAAGTCACACAGCATCACTTCTGCCATAATCTACTAGTTGAACGGTCATGGAGCGGGGACACAGACTCCACCTTTTGAGTGAAGACTGTCAAAGAATTTGTGGCCATTTTTCAAACTACCACAAAGGTGATATGCCTACCTTGTAGGTTTGTTATGAGGGCAAGAGGTGATTAACACAATCAGATATTAATTACAGTGCTAAATAGGAACCATAATAATTCTTGTTGTTAAGTGCCATTGAGTCGATTCCATCTCATAACGACCCTGAACAGGGTTTCCAAGGAGCAACTGGTGGGTTTGAACCACCAACCTTGCAATTAGCAGTCCAGGGCTTATACGACAGCAAAACGCCACTATTGCTGTTAATATAGTATAAGACTTAAGTGCACAATTTGGCTGGACTACACTTTTCTGACCTTTTTAGCTCTGACCATCCATCAGAATTTCCATTGCATACAGAATCTTAGCTCAGAATCTTAGCGTTCCAGAAGACCCTAAGACGAGACTCAAAATGACATGCTACCACAGAGGACTAGTAAGAAAGTGTGAAAAACTGCAAAACAGAGAAATCAAATAAGAGTGTAATTTCAGGCAAAGTTCTGTCAAGGGTCAGTTCAGCCTGATACCACAAAGACAGGAGTGTGTGTTTCATCTTAAAGTTTCCCACCTTTCCCATTCTGGGTTCTGCAATTAAGGTTCGGAATTCAGGGTTGTTCTGAGCATAAGACCTCAGATGAGCAGAGATGTGATCCAATTGTTTTCTCCAGTACCCTAAAGGAAGAAGAGGACCCAAAATCAGCCATGTGAAAAATTCTTCTGTGGCTAAGAAAGAAAATGGAGCATGCGTTCTCAGTGAGGTTATTTTTCACTTCTAAGCTTTGTGAAGGAGCTCTGGTAGTGTAGTGGTTACAAATCGGGCTGCGAACCTTAAGGCCAGCAGTTCGAAACTACCAGCCGCTCCGCGGGAGAAAGATGAGGCTTTCTGCTCCCGTAAAGATTTACAGCCTCAGAAACCATGTACAGGGTCACTATGGGTCGGAACCGACTCGACGGCACTTAACAACAAGAAGCTTTGTGATGTTTTTTACTTCCTGAACTTTAACTCTGCTAGACCAAGTTCCACTGTTGCTACCAGCTTCTTTTTACACGTAAGAATGGAATTTCTGGGTGCCAAAAGGTTGGTGGTTTGAACCCACCAATATTCTCCTCAGAAGATAGGCCTGGTCATCTGCTTCTGAAAGGTTACAGTCTTGAAAATCCTGTGGGACGCAGTTCTACGTTCACACATGGAATTGACATGAGTCTGAATTACTTAATAAATAACATCGCTGGTTCGGTGGTGAGGATTTCTGTTTTCTTTGCATTGAAGTGCAATCCATACTGAAGGCTCTAGTCTTTGATCAGCATCAGTAAGTATTTAAGTCCTCTTCACTTCCAGCAGGCAAATTTGTATCATCAGCATATCTAAGGTTGTTAATGAGTCTCCTTCCAACCTTGTTGCCACATTCTTCATATAATCCATCTTTTCAGATTATTTGTTCAGCATACACATTGAATAAATATTGTAAAAGAATATAACCCTGATGTACACGTTTCCTGATTTTAAACCATTCCATATCCCCTTGTTCTATTCTAACAACTGCCTCTTGGTCTATGTACAGGTTCTCCATAAGCACAAGTGTTCTGGAATACCCATTCTTCAAAATGTTATCCATAGTTTGACATGATCCACACAGTTGAAAGCCTTTATAAAGTCAATAAAGGGCAACTAAACATCTTTCTGGTATTCGCTGCTTTCAGCCAAGATCCATCTGATATTAGCAATGATATCCCTGGTTCCATGTCCTCTGCTGAATCCGGCTTGAATTTCTAGCAGTTCTCTGTTGATACACTGTTGCAGCCAGTTTTGAACTACCTTCAGCAAAATTTTACTTGCATGTGATATTAATGATATTGTTCAATGACTTCCACATTCCATTGGGTCACCTCTCTTTGGAATGGGAACAAATATGGCATAGTAAACTAAATAACTGTCAGATTCAAAATGCCCAATACCAGTCCATTTCAGCTCAACAATATTTTTATAGAATATAGTTTTTATGCATTCCATTTCATTTTTGACAACTTTCAATGTTCCTAGATACTTTGTACATTCTATGTTCTATTATTAATGGATGTTTGCAACTGGTTCTCCTCATTTTGAGTTGTACTTCATCAGCAACTGAAGGTCCCGAAAGCTTTACTCCATTTTCATCATCATGGTCAGCTTGCTTTGAGGAGGCAACTCTCCTATGTCGTATTCTGAGTGTCTTCCAACCTGAGGGGGTCCATCTTCCAGCTCTATATCTGACAACATTCCGGTATTATTCAAATGTTTTCATCTGTGGTAATGCTTCACTGCTATTCATAAGGTTTTCAATGGCTAAACATTCAAAAGTAGTTAGCCTCTCCTTCTTCCTAGTCTGTCATAGTCTGGAAGCACCACTGAAACCTGTTTACCATGGGTGACTCTGCTGGTATTTAACATACCAGTGGTATAATGTTCCACATCGCAGCATTACACAAACCTCCAAGTAGAACAAACTGACAGACAAGTGGTGGAATTCACTCAACAGTCATTAACAATAACAATAATCACAGTACGTCATAGACTCTCAAAAGAACATGTCTTGATTGCCCCACATGGAGTTATTATTTTTTTAATTAATCATATTGAGATATAACTTACATAATAAAATACACCTATTATAAATGTGGAGTCCTGGTGTGGCTATATACAATAATGCACTGGACCTCAAGGTCAGTTTGAAATGCAAGATCAGCAGTTCAAACTCATCAGCTGCTCCTTGGAAACCTTATACAGGGTTGTTAGGAGTTGGAATCAACTCAACAACAACATTTTAAATGTAGAGTTTGAAGTTTGGCAAATGTGTACAACTAGGGAAGTATCATCCCAATCAGCATGCTCCCATCACTCCAAAAAGTTCCCTGTGATCTATGCAGTCTACACAGGGCTTTAAACACATCTGAATTAGTTGTCACCATTTAAAGCTTGAAGTCCCTGGGTGGTATAAGTGGTTAAGTGCTCAACTAGTAGATGAAAGGTTGGAAATTTGAACCCACTCAGGGCCTTTGAAAGATAGACCTGCCAATCTGCTTCTGAAAAACCCTGTGGAACAGTTCAACTTCATACACCTGGGGTCACCATGAGTCAGAATAAACTTGATGGTAACTAAAAACAACAAAATTTAAAGGTTGGAAGATCTCACATTAAAGTCTGAACTTCCGGTTTCTTGTGCACAGTTAGGATATATGGCCTGCCTTCCTACACAGGCTTAGTAAAGATAGGTAGGTGGGCCACTGGCTGGCCTGACATGGTGCAGAAATCTTTAGCCTTTGTGAAGGACAGCCTGGAGATACAGGATTGACAGCAAGGGGTGTGTGATTCTCCCTGCTCCCTGAGTCCTCCTGCTAGACAGGAGCATGGCTAGTCTCCACCCTCACTCACCCATCCAACAGCCAGTGGCAGCCCCTCCTGCCCAACCTCTGCTCTAACATCATGAAAGATAAGAGAAGTTAAATTAACTCCAAACAGGATAGACACCCAAAGAAAATTATCAAAACATATTATAATTAAACTTTTCAAAACTGAAGGTAGGAAAGAATCCCGAGAGTCGATCAGGGAAAATGAAAAGTTACCTACAAATGAGAACTAGTAAGACTAAGTTCTGATTTCTCAGCAGAAAACATGTAGGCAAGAAGACAATGGGATGACATATATGAAACCCTGAAAGGAAAAAACTGCCAACTAAGAATCATATAGCCAATAAAATTGTCTATTGAGCATGATGGTGAAACTAGGGCATTTCCAAATAAACAGAAATTAAAAGAATTTGTAAAAATCAGACCAACCTTACAAAAATACTTAAGGGAATTCTTTGGACAAAGAACCAACAACATTCAACAACATCCTGAGATTAACATGCATGAAAACATCACTGAGAACTCAACTCAAATATAGAATTATTCAATGTAAGACAAATCTACAATATTGAAAATAGGGAATGAGAGATACCAGTTTATAATAACAATAACAAACCACAAAGTAAAAAGTTGGAATAATACAGTTACAGAATTTCCAAATGAAAAGGAAATCAAGTAATTTTCAAGAAAAAATCAAATAAATATAAATAAACTTAACTGTAATCCTAAAACTAGACCAAGCTTCCTCTTCTTGTTGTTGTTAAGTACCATACAGGGTCGCCATGAGTCAGAACCAACTGTTTCCAAGGAGCAGCTGGTGAGTTTGAACCACGGAACTTGCAGCTCAAACTGACTTTACTCTCACCCTCCACATAGAGGCATCATGACAAGAATCATAAAGGTAAAAATGGTTGAATTGGTACATGTTCTGCTGTGTATATTCTCCCAACAACAATCAAAATGATTTATAAAAAAGTATGGCAAACCATAATAATGACTTCAGACTCAGGCTATTTCTACTATAATATGGTAAGTCAGTATGTGCTATTTAACTTATGAGCTAGACAATGGGACTATGGGTTAAAATATTAAGCATTTGAAGACATGTAAAAGTTATGCAGAAAACTTTAAAAATGAACAATAAAAATAATGAAGTCAGTTTTCATATAGGGGAAAACCCCAAAACTCCAATAAAGTGAAGAAGTTTAATTTTGTTTTGTTTTGTTTTGTTTTGTTTTAGGTCACAAGAAAGCATATCTTTCCCATCACCTCTTCCTGGGCTGATGGCTGTGAGGAGAGGTTTATGGTCACTCATCTTCTCCTGTCTTTGTTTTTGAGAAGTCAGTTCCAATTCTTTCTTTGCTAGTAGTTTGCTGGATGGGTAGAACAGGCCAACAGTCTGTGTGCCAACATCCTTCTTAGTCCCAGTATCAGATCTGAGCAAAGGAACATTTATGGACTGCCAAGCAGATCGACGCTATGAGCAAGGCAGAAAACATTAAGAAAGAAAAGAAAACAAAGGAATATAATTTAATGAATCAATTCTCTATTTTGCTTATAAAAAACAATACTAATCAGAACTAGAATTATCTCCTAGAAAACTTTATAGTGAATTATATATATAGTGATTTTCCAGCTCTTGCCTCATATTTCCTACTCCTTTTATCCCCAAAAACTTCCAGTGTAATCCATGAAGCCAGTACCATTCCCAGGATATTTATTGTTGAACTGGTGAATCACCTGATATTTTCTGTACTGACTAAAGTCATAAATATAAAAACCCTTTCAACTCTACCCCTTCCTTTCTACATACTCCTTCCAGATTCACTCAACTGAGCACCAATATTTTTTCTGAGATGCTTTCCTATACCTCTGTACCTGAAGGCCTGGTAGGTAAGACTGCAGTTTTTGCACTGTACAAAGGTACCGTATCTAATCCATAGCAACCCTGTATGGGGTTTCCAAGGAGCAATTGGTGAGTTTGAACTGCCAAACTTGTGGTTCAAAGTGACCTTGAGATTGAGTGCTTATCCTACAGCTCCGTACCAGATCTCCTCATTAGCTATTTCCAAGGATGTCAGCTTGAGGACTAAGGTGTGCCTGACCCAAGCCATGATATTTTCAATAACCTCATAAGCGTGCGAAAGAGAGACAGTGAATAAGGAAGACCTTAAAAGAATTGATGCCTTTGAGTTATGGTGTTGGAGGAGAATATTGAAAGTGCCATGGACTGCCAAAAGAACCAATAGATCAGCCAGAGTGCTCCTTGGAGACCAGGATGGCCAAACTTTGTCTCTCATACTTCGGATATGTTGTCAGGAGGGACCAATCACTGGAGAAGGATATCGTCTTTGGTAAGGTGGAGGATCAGAAAAAGAGAGGAAGACCCCCAACAAGATGAATTGGCCAAGTGGCAGCACTAATGGACTCAAGCGTGGCAACAGTAGTGAGGTTGGCCCAGGATCGGGCAGTGTTTCGTTCTGCTGTGCATAAGGTCACTATGAGTCAGTACCAACTCAATGGCACCTAACAACAACAACAAATCTTTATGGAAGCAGAAAGCCTCATCTTTGTCCCATGGAGCAGCTGGTAGTTTCTAACTGCTGACCTTGAGGTTAGCAGCCCAACTCGTAACCACTACAGTGGTGGTGGTGGTGGTGGTGGTGGTGGTGGTGTTGGTGGTGTTGGTGTTGGTGTTGGTGGTGTTGGGGGTGGCGGTGTGCTGTGGAGTCGGTTCCGACTCACAGAGACCCTGCATAGGGTTTCTGAGGCTGTGAATCTTTATAGGAGCAGAAAGCCTCATCATTCACCTGCATAACAGTTGGTAGCTTCAAACTGCTGATCTTGAGTTTTCCAGCCTGACTCGTAACCACTATGCACCAGAGCTCCTTAATCATTATGGTAGGCATCATTTTTTTAATATTTCTTAGAACAATTTTTTTGTAGGTATAAGAAAATGTCTAACAAATTAGTGTATTACAATCTATTTCCAACAGATTGGTAGTCAAGTGTCTTGAAAAAAGGGCACCTATGATAGCTCTGGTAGCATAGTGGTTATGAATCAGGCTACTAAACTCAGGGTCGGCAGTTCGAAACTACCAGCAGTTCCGCGGGAGAAAGATGAGGCGTTCTGCTCCCATAAAGATTTACCGCCTCGGAAACCCTGTGCAGGGTCGCTATGAGTCAGAACTGACTCCACGGCACTTAACAACAACAACAGCAACAATGAGGTGTATATTGGATAGGCCAATCCTAGGATTTATAAATCTTTCAATCTGAGCTAAGAAAGCCATGAACTCCCTAAAATACGCATACAAAGTGCTGCGTGTCTGTAATCCATGAATGTATGGAATTGTCCAAATTAATGAGGAATAAGAATCAGGATCAGCATAAAGCTGGTTCCTATGAGGCAGAAGTCAGACATACCTCTGTTCTACCAACTTCTTAACCATTTCTGACACAACTCTCTCTACGTCTCTGCATGGTTTGATCATTCATTGCAATGGTTACACAGAACTCATAGACTGTTCTCACAGTTATGTGGCTTATTAGGGAAGTAACAAGTTATAGGAGTCCTGGTGTGGCACTGTGGGCTAATGTGCTAGACTGCAATGTCATCTGAACTGCAAGGTCGGTGGTTCAAGCTCACCAGTTGCTCCTTGAAAACCCTATACAGGGTCACTATGGGTTGGACTTGACTTGATGGCACTTAACAACAACAGTAACAAGCTATAACTTGTGATTAGGATCAAGTTGGGACTAACAGGAACCAGGGATGAGAGAATGAGAGCATATGGGCAAGGTCTGGAAGAGTCCTTGAGTGGAAAGCACACCCCTCCTTTATTCAGTGCAGGGCAGCTTCTAACCAGGACAGCTCCCCCAGCTGTGCTCAGCCAGTAAAAGGCAGAGGCAGGGTCCAATTAATTAGGTTCAGATTAGCCAGTAGTTGATCGTCTATTCTTCTTCCTCTTCTCTTCATAAACTTCATTCTAACTAGCCCAGATGGAGCCATTTATATGTTTATTCGTTTTCAAACTCAGATTGGTCTCTGTATGCACATAGAATAACTGCTCCAAAAAAAAAAAAACCCTATGTTTCAATTTCTTTCATCCTTTTTTTTTTTTTTTAACAAAGGTCTAAATGTTTTTGCTTTCTTTTCATAGAAACCCAGTATTCACAAAGTATGCAAATTCAAGGTACTGTCCTCTTCAAATGTACTAGTTCTTACTATGGTAGAGGCCTTACCTGAGGAAAAGGGCAGGATTCTCCAGTAGCTGGGGCCAGACTGTTTTCTAAGCATAATCTTGACAAGGACTCCACATAAATACCACAGGAACCACAAAATCGAGCAGATGGATAATTGCTAGCTCCACACTTGGGGCAAACAGAGAAGCAAGCAGAAATACCAGGCTAGAAGACAGGAATTATTTTGCATGTTATGAATATTATTATTTCCCATGTAATCACATTATCCCATACCATACAATTTCTGATCATAAATATAACATAACATATTCACACACTCTCATCTAGTGTTTCCAATTTCTAGGATGTACCCTAATATGGACAAGTACACAAAGAAGTATATTCAAACCCATTCCCTGCAGCATTGTTATCAGAGAAAATAACTAGAAAAAAAAAATGTTCAGTAAAAAAGAATAACTTAAGTATATCATGGTACATCCCCAAAATGGAATATTATGAATCCATTGAAAATTTGAGATATTAAACAAAATTATTTTGTTTATAATTATTTTGAAAATAATTGGATCCTTGTTCATATTATGCTACTACTGTACTTATAAATGTATTGACTATCTGAAAGACCACCACAAAAACTGTGTAGCAGAGCTTGCTGCTGGGAGGAGAAGGGAACTAACTTTCACTACAGGCCCTTTCTATATTATTTGCATTAAATATTTACTTAGATTTAAAAAACAACAACAACCATAATTTGTATATTTTTAAAAAGATTGGCATGCAGATAATTCATAAAAGAAGAAATGCCAATAGAGAATAAGTATCTGAAAAAGTTCAACCACAAAGAAATGTAAATCAAAAGCTATATATAAAATAGATCATTTTCAAAGATAATTCATTATCCTCACATTCTTAGGTAAGTATGTGCCACTAACAAAGTCACCAAATCTTCAAGGCCAGAGAAGAAGAGGACCCTGGATCTCTCAGGGTAGTGATAGATGCATAGGACCAAAGAAGCTCAGTTCTTAAAAACCCACCTTGGTTTCACACAAATTACAGAAGTAAGCTTCCCGGTGATTCTGCTGACCACATTTGGAGCAAGAAAAAGTCTCCCTTTTCTGAGTGGATGGGTGAGTGGTTTTATCTCCACTGCACATTGGCTGGGGAACAAAACAACATTTACAGCACAAGCAATACTCTATTCTCTGATCCCTCTCCCATTCCCCAAATAACAACATTCTAAGTCAAAGCAAGCCTCAGAAATACTAGTTTTTGCCTAAAACAGTAAAATAATAATGTGTTTCATCAATTAACAAATTAGTGCCAAGAATACTCATTTCTTGACAGAAACTCAATAAAATTTGTTGTTGTTAAGTGCCGTCGAGTCAGTTCCGACCCATAGCGACCCTGTACAGGGTTTCCGAGGGTGTAAGTCCTTACGGGAGTAGAAAGCCTCATCTTTCTCCCGCGGAGCGGCTGGTAGTTTCGAACTGCTGACCTTAAGGTTCGCAGCCCGATTCATAACCACTACACTACCAGAGCTCCTTATAAATAAAATTAGTGCCCTTGATATTTCTTAGTGTCTTTAATAGCTAAATTAGCAAGTCTATTTTTGGTTTTATATAAAAAGATTAGTAAATAAAGGATATAAAGAGTGCTGGCTCCTAGTGTTTCACAACTGGGTTTTTGTTTTTTTTTCTATCCCTTGGTATTCTGACATTTTTCCTCTCTCAAACTGGGATGACAGCAACTATCTGATCACCTACTATGTACAGGTGCTACTCTGAGCACTGTATTTGTTCTCTCACCTCAATCCATATAACTAACTTGTAAGGTGGGGGCCTTCATCTTCCCCGTTTTCCAAAGGAGAAAAACAGAGACAGAAAAAGGATAAATTAAATCAGAGACTAGCCCAATACAGGAATTAAGAGGACATCTAACTCTAAAGGTTCTCTTTTATTCATAACTCTACACTGCCTCTTCAATACAATAGTTTCCTTCTAGGTTTGTTTAAGGGTTTCAGATGATTAACAACAATTAAGAACACAGAGGTGCTTAGCACAGGGACAAACTCCATGTGTCAGATACCTTCCCTTCCCATCCTGGTTTCCACTAGATCCTGATATCTCTGAGGAGAAGGACTATAATTTTAATTTTTATCCCACTGGCCCAATATCTGGTAACTTGGCAAATAGGTGGGAGTCAGACAAATAGATATTATATCAATAAATGAACTAATGAATAAAAACAGTATACTACACATATTTCATGTACATACTGGGAAATATCTTTTCTAAGGATAATATTTTTTTATCTCAAAGATGAATATTTTAGTTAACACTATGCCTACCTGTACCCTGTTTACTGCAGGGTCTGCTTTACTATCCAAAACCTGACATCTACCCAGAAAGAAGCCAAATTAGTGCCAATATCCACAGAGACCCAAGAAAGGAGGGCTCGCTTTGTGAATGCTTACTCACTCACCCTATTTCTATGCAACTGGAGGGAACCATTTGGGCTAAATCAAAGGGGAAAAAAAGCTTTGGCAAACTTTAGCTTCAGACATTACATTTTAATTTATCCTACTATTAAAGTAAGACTTTTATGTAAAACTTGCAGTCCTAAACTTCTAAATATAAACATTCAGCTCTTTCACTTATCTGAATTTACTCTTCAAGTAGATTTCTTATACATTGCTTTAAAGAAAGAAAAGTTATCTTACCCCACAATATTAATGCTGCTAAACAAAGAAAAGACATAATGCTGTCAGACTGAGCATGCATTGTTACTTCTACATACTTCCATGATAAATACTCTCACTGTGATAACTAAACTCTGATGTACCATTCAGATAAAAATATAATTTCATCAAAAAAATCAATTTTGCCATTGTTCTTAAGGCAGTTTTGCTGAGGAATGAGACCCAGATATAATGATATAACTAACAGCTAATAAAATCAATTTAAATTATTCACTGGGTAGAGGGTAGACATATGTTAACTTGGGGTATGGGAAAGACAAGATACAACAAGGAGAGGTTGACACAGGAAAGATGAATGTAGTGGAAGTGAATGGAGGTAAATACTGTTAACTGATGGTACATGGAAGGGATTGCAATCATTGTAATGGGATGAAGTGTATGATTTAGTGAAGCTGGGATTGGATGATTTGTTCTGCAAACCTTAACTCAGTTCACAATTAAAAGTTAAAACTACCTTTTGTGATGAATGCAGGACCCCCTCACAGGTAACACAGTATCGCAGGTAAGCCGGGTTTCCTGTGCCACAGGTGCGGCAGAGTACCTTCTCCTGGGAAGCAGAGTATTAGAAGCTCATGTTTCTCTGACTAAACAAACTTGCAAAGAGGTTATCAAGCAGTCTTTTTGTCAATCAGCCAGCAAAAACCAAAATCAGAGCCACGGACATTGAGTTGATTCTGACTCATAATGAGCCTGTGGGACAGAATAGAACGGCTCCACAGGCTTTCCAGGCCTGTAAATATTTATGGAAGCATGCCCTGGACTGGTTGGTGGGTTACAATCACTCACCTTTTGGTTTGCTGCTCAGTGCTTTAACTACTGTACCACGAAGGCTCCCAGATTCTAAAATACTGAATTGATTTGGCACTTACAGCAACATAATAGAGAAAGCAGTGGCTCTATATGATAAGCACTGGACTGCGAACCACAAGGTCAGTGGTTCAAGCCCACCAGCCACTCCGTGGGAGAAAGATGAGGCTGCAAAGATTTACAGCCTATGCAATCCTATACAGGGTCGCTCTAAGTACATTGACCCTACACTTTACCAAGCATGACGTCCTTCACCAGGGACAGGTCCCTTCTGATACCAGATCGAAGTATGAGAGATGAAGTCTCATCATCCTGGCTTTTCAGGAGCACTCCAGCTGTACTTCTTCCAACACAGACTGGTACTCTATGGTACCTTCAACTTCTTCTCCACCACCACAATCCAAATGTATCAATGTCAATCCACCCTGTTGGGGGGTCTTCCTCTTTTTCCCTGGCACTCCTTTTTTCCAAGCATAATGTCCTTCTCCAGGAACTGGTCCATCCTGATAATATATTCAAAGTACCAGGGATGAACCTTAGAGCCAATCCTGGCTTCTAAGGAGCATTCTGGCTGTATTTCATTCAACACAGGTTTGTTTGTTCTTCTGAAAAATTATGGTACTTTCAATATTCTTCACCAACACCATAATTCACATACATTGATTCTTCTATAGTTTTCCTTATTAATTGTCCAACTCTTACATGCATAAGGCTATAGAAAATACCATGGCTTGAGTCAGGCACACCTTAATCTTCAAACTGACATCTTTGCTTTATAATACTTTAAAGATATCTTTTGCAGATCTGTTCAGCACAATATATTGTTTTATTTCTTGACTGCTGCTTCCATGGGTGTTGATCGGTGATCCAAGCAAAATGAAGTCTTTTGACAACTCCAGTCTTTTTCTCTATTCATCATGATGTTATTTATTGGTCCAGTTGTGAGGATTTTTTTTTGTTTACTTTACACTGAGGCACAATTTATAATGAAAGTTACTGTCTCTGATCTTCATCAGTAAGTATTTGAAATCTTGTTGACTTCCAGCAGGTTGTTAATTCAGTTCACCAGACATTAGTTTATCATATGTTAGCTAACATTACTAGCTGAAGACAGCCATTTAATTATTCAAATTACTTTCTCAGCTTTTACAGAATGACAGTGTTTACCTTCAGATGGAGGCTGGCCTGAGGCTGCAGCTGCAAAGTAAGAGGAGCATCACATACCACACAGATGGGAGTGTTCATGGGCACCATGCTTCCACATTCTACACATACACCCATCTGTACAAAAGAAGAAGTCAGGTTTGTCTTCAACAACAAAAAAACTGAAGATGTAAGTATCTTAGAATGTCAGATTGCATTTTTGTTTTTAAAATAACTATCTTTATTATTATTTTGTTCCTATTAAGAGTAAAAATATATTTATTGCAGAAAAGATAGATGTCAAAAATATATATTTACAGGAGATTGACTCATAGCATGATGAAGTAAGACAGTCAACAAATCCTCTCCCCAAAAAGGAATTAAAACACTGGATAAAACTGTCAAAAAATAACCATCTCCAAAGTTTTAAAAGTTCAACAAAAGCATACAACAAACTGAAAAGTTTCTGCAAAGTGCTGAATTTCAGGTAAGAACACGATGAATTTTTGTGGTTCTTGTCTGGGAGTGCTCCCATCTTCAGCTAACTTTATGAGTATGGTAGTTCCTCCAGGGCAGGGCAGGCTGTGAAAACCAGAAACTCCACAACTGGTAATGTGCAAGGTTTACTTCATTTGGTGCATTATTAAAGTAATGATCTTAGTGCCAAGCAAACGAGGAGAACCTGTGGCTCTATACCTTGAGACTTTGGTCCCTGTTTGGGCAAACAGTACAATGGCAAAGTAGCCAGAGATTTAAGGTAGTATTTCAGGAGGTAAATCAACTATAAGGGGTTTGATAAGCTCTCCATGTATCCTTACTTGATGAGCAGCCGTGAACATGTGCATCATAAACCAGAGTGGGCCCAAGCGACCTACATATATCTCTGGCTGACAGAGATTACACATGGAGATGCAAGAGAACTCAGCATAAAGTAAAAGGTAGACTGACTTGAATACAGTCTGAAGTCTGAATATTCTCCCCAGTCCAAACATAGATCCATCAGTAGAGAGAAGTCTTATAAGTCTGAGGTTTATGAGCATAGTTTCTGAACAATCTTCAGCAGAACACTAAACTATAAGACCCATGGTGATACACTGAAGGAGAGACAGACATCAAAAAGTTCATACAAGAGAAAAAATAAAAGCAATTCTCTAGAGAAAAATTCAGAACACAAAGTTACCACAATATAGCATTAAAAATGTTCAGTATTCCAGAAAAAAACAATAAGACATACAAAAAAAAGTGTGATTCATATTTGGGGAAAGAGGATAAAGCAGTAAATAGAAATACTCTGTGTATCCTTAGATGCTGAGATTAACATGTAAAGACTTCAAAGTAGCTAATATAAAAATGTACCATTCATCTGTCAGTTTGTTGTATTGTGGTGGCTTCTGTGTTACTGTGATGCTAGAAGCTATGTCACTGGTATTTTAAATCCCAGCAGGATCACCCATGGTGGAAGGTGTCAGCAGAACTATCACACTAAGAGAGAGTGCAAAGAAGAAAAAGCAGACTACTTCTGAATGTTTAGCACTGAAAACCGAATGAATAGCACTGTAAAATTGTCAGCTACAGTGCCAGAAGATGAGCCCCTCAGGTTGGAAGGCACTCAAAACACAACTGGGGAAGAGCTGCCTCCTCAAAGTAGAGTTGCCCGTGATATCACAAAAGGAATAACTACTTTGGGACCCTCATTTGCTAATGGGGTAAACTCAAAATTAGGAGATACAACTGCAAACATTCATTAATAATCAAAACATACAATATACGAAGTATAAACCAAGGAAAATTGAAAGTTGTCAAAAATGAAATGGAACACATAAAGATTGATATCGTAGGCATTAGTGAGCTGAAATGGACTGGTACTGATCATTTTGAATCTGACAATCATACGGTTTAGTATGCAATGTATAATTGAAGAGGAATGAAATTGCATTCATGGTAAAAAAAAAAAAGAACATTTCCCCCCTCCACACACAGAGTGGACGGAGATGGGCAACTTGGAATTGGATACTCAAATGGGGAGGTGGGGGGGGGGGACTACAATAGCAAGAAGTGACTGGCTTACAAGCTTTCAAGGGGGAACCTAGTGCTAGGGAGCATGGAGGAAGGCAGAATCTCCAGTTGGTACTATTCAATCTGTCTGGGCAGAGCGGATGAAAGGAAATACAGATGGATAACTCGCTATACTGTAGTGAAGAATGCTTATCAGGACGGATTATGAGGGTTGGAAATGCAAAGGTAGACGTTTTGTAACAAGGAAGGGAGTGATTAATTCTACAGGCTAGGAGCGGAGGTATCTGGGACCATCAACGGAGAAGAGCCAAGAGCAGGACCCTTCCCAGAGAAACAGATG